CGGGCGTGTGAGTGTGTGTGTGTGTGTGTGTCGAAGGGATAGGGAGAGAGAGAGAGAGAGAGAGCATGCAAAACATAGTGTGGGCTAGTGCTGAATGAATCTGTTCAACTTTGCTCATAATGAAGGGCAAAATCGGGGCCAGCAACGCTATATCGGGGATACAGCGCTAGCCCGTTTTTTTCATGATTGCTGTGTTTTGCATGCTCTCTCTCTCTCTCTCTCTCTCTCTCTCTCTCTCTCTCTCTCTCTCGCGCGCGCACACACACACACACACACACACACAACACAGCGCCTCAGGTCAAAGAAAACCGCCTTGATTTTTTTTGGTCTACCTTGAAAAAAAAATATCTAGTTTCGTTATTTTTGACCAAAAAATTCATAAAAATGTTTATACTCTTATAGGAAAAGTTTTTTTTAAATGTACGGGTTATGAGAGAAATAAGTTTTCTGGAAGAAATCCTCGTCCAGGTTATTAGTGTGTTTTTTTTTCGGAAAAGAGAAACCCCCCCGTAATAATCCCTCTTCAAATTCGCCCTTCCACAAATTCGCTACACCCCTGCACTAGTCTCGAGATGGGTGCAGGCCCTGAACCCTACGTGGCCGGTCGAAAGGGTAGCCCTCCGGAGACCTACCTGGTAGTCATAGGTCGGAACCAAATTGGTTAGCAGCTAGTGGGTAGCGGACTTTCGCGATTCCCGACTATTTAAGCATTCAACGACAACTAGTTACTCCTCTGATTTTGATACGGCGGAACCACCGCTACCGGGGTAGAACGCTTACGCTTTCTCCCGACGAAGCTGCGCCGTCTTTCGCTTTTCCATCTGCTGCAGTCGCACGTTCTTTTCTTCGAGCGCCCCATTGAAAACCATGGTGGATCTTTTCCCAACGGTTGACGAGATGTTGGACGCGGAGGAACTCAGAGTCCTCCAAACTTCGCAATCTAGCTCGGTAAATGTCCACGTTCCAATGACGTGCCGGGTTTCTCCCCCTCCTCCCCTCCACGACCTCCACTCTATGAAGGTGTGAATCTACAGCTATGACTAGCGAATATAGGTGATTGTGCTACTTCCATCCCCTCTGATGAGCTGTTCAGTGGCCAGCAGCGAAAAGCTTGCTTTAGCGACTATTAGCCACTACTCCCTACCCAATACACCCCGCTTTCCTATTTGGACTTATCATCTACCCTGTTTGTGGTTGTCATGATGAATTGGTCCTAGGGAATAGCTCGTGAGAATTCACATCAGTCTCATGTATCCCATAAACGTTTGTTGCATATGTTTTTGATAGAACTCACCCATCTTCTTTCCCGTTCCTGCTTGATGTTTGTCTTGATGTGTCATGATAACCTAGGAATTGCTAGGTAGGCCTGTGAAGAGACTGAAGGTATAATCGAGGAAGCAAGCATGACCTAGTGGCTGACCTGGAGCTCCACACCATGGACACGGATTTCGCCCTCGCAATCTCTGCATGCGTCACTATTCTCGTAGTAGCATACCTTGCTTACCTTGCTTTTCTGGAATCGAGACGCGATCTCGTCAGTTACCGATCACACCGATTAACCAGTCTATCAACCTCATGATCGGGCAAGTCGCCCTTGTCATGTCCATATGCAACTCGCCTATGGATGCGGCGAATGCTATCCTCCTAATTTTCGAAACTATGTTAGGGAATGGGTTTGAGGGAAGAAAATGTTTGAGGTCGGTGTGCCAAGTCCTTGATAATCCATCTTCATTCAAGCCCTTTCGTTCGAATGCCGTGGAGACCAAGCAGCGATTGACGGTGAGCACTTGTCATATGACTATTTTCCTTCGATATGTCTGTGGTGGGTGATGAAGTGTGTGGTTGACCAGCGGATACCTGGCCCTATATAAGGGGGCCCAGGTACTGCTCTGGCCCCCCTTCCCCAGGTTTCGACTGGTGGGAAACGGGTGGGTCACACACACACACACACACACACACACACACACACACACACACATGGCCTCAGGTGAAAGAAAACCCCTTGATTTATTTTGGCCTACCTTGAAAAACAATTTTCTTATTTCTTTATTTTTGTCCAAAAAATTCATAAAAATGTTTCTACTCTTATACGAAAAGTTTTTTTAAATATACGGGTAATGAAAAGAAATAATTTTTTAGAAAGAAATCCTCGTCCAGGTTATTAGTGTGGGTTTTTTCGGAAAAGAGAACCCCCCTCGTAATAATCCCTCTTCAAATTCGCCCTTCCCCAAATTCGCTATACCCCTACACTGGTCCCGAGATGGTTGCAGGCCCTGAACCCTACGTGGCTGGTCGAAAGGGTAGCCCTCCGGAGACCTACGTGGTAGTCATAGGTCAGAAACAAATTGGTTAGCAGCTAGTGGGTAGCGGACTTCCGCGATTCCCGACAATTTAAGCATTCAATGACAACTCGTTACTCCTCTGATTTTGATACGGCGGAACCACCACTACGCCAACCCGTCAGTAGAACGCTTACGTTTTCTCCCGATGAAGCTGCGCCGTCTTCCTCTTTTCCATCTGCTGCAGTCGCGCATTCTTTTCATCGAGCGCCCCATTGAAAACCATGGTGGATCTTCTCCCAACGGTTGACGAGATGTTGGACGCCGAGGAACTCCTCCAAACTTTGCAATCTAGCTCGGTAAATGTCCACGTTCCAATGACGTGCCCGGTTTCTCCCCCTCCTCCCCTCCACGACCTCCACTCTATGAAGGTGTGAATCTACAACTATGACTAGCGAATATGGGTGATTGTGCTACTTTCATCCCCTCTAATGAGCTGTTCAGTGGCCAGCAGCGAAAAGCTTGCTTTAGGGACTATTAGCCACTACTCCCTACCCAATACACCCCGCTTTCCTATCTGAACTTATCATCTACCCTGTTTGTGGTTGTCATGATGAATTGGTCCTAGGGAATAGCTCGTGAGAATTCACACCAGTCTCATGTATCCCATAAACTTTTGTTGCCTATGTTTTTGATACAACTCACCCCCGTTCTTTCCCGTTCCTGCTTGATATTTGTCTTGATGTGTCATGATAACCTAGGAATTGCTAGGTAGGCCTGTGAAGAGATTGAAGATATAATCGAGGAAGCAAGCATGACCTAGTGGCTGACCTGGAGCTCCACACCATGGACACGGATTTCGCCCTTGCGATCTCTGCATGCGTCACTGTTCTCTTAGTAGCATACCTTGCTTTTCTGGAATCGAGACGCGATCTCGTCGGTTACCGATCACACCGATTAGGGAATGATGATGTGCGGAATGAGTGTGGGATGGCTCATGTGGCTATGTAACACCCGCGGACGCGTCCGCAGGTCCAATCTCGGATGGCGGACGCAGACGGGTCCGCATCCACGGCCTACCTGGTCCACGTCGCGGACCCGATTTTACCAGAATTTTCGTGAATTAAATAATAGGCTAAAAGAAAAAAATATATATGGGGTTGTAGGGAATTTTAAGCCCTACAACCCCTTTTTTTTTTTTTTGGAATCCGACTTTGTTTCGGATTTTTAAAAAATCACAAACTAAATTCGATTTAAAAAAATAATAAAAAATATATATGAAGAAAAGTTGGCTTTTTTTTTTTGTAATTTTTTATCATCAGATATATGGTCCCTGAGGTCACCTGTATTTTTTGGAAATGAATTTCTGTTTTTTGCAGAGGTAGGAGGTGTTTTAGAAAAATAAAGATACAAAATTAAAAAAAAAAAAA